AAAATGCTAATATAAACATTCAGTCGACATTTCATGTACCTACGGTCATTTTTTAAGAGTTGCGCCAAAAACCAAAATCGATTTTCTCGAAAATAGATTTTGCGTAAAAATTCCCGTTTTTCCTTAATTTTAATTTTGTTTTTCACGGCGCTATAATGAAAACTACTAAAAAAATTTACTTTTGACCCCCCCCCCCCCCCCCCCAAGTACCAACTAGATTCACTTTCCTATCAGAAAAAATACTGTTGAAGAAAATCCAAGCACTTTTACTGTCCTAAAAAATGATAACAGACAAAAAAAAAAAAAAAAAAAAAACACACATCATTGTAATATCAATACATTCATCGTCCCACTCAGAATCTAAAAGAGGCTTGTATTATTTTTTTGATTTTGCCAGTCCCAGTTGCTACCTACTGCCGATCGATTATTCTCTAAACTGAAAACAATTAAAACTTATTTAAGGAACTCCATGGCAGACGGAACCAACTATCTAATATTTTAGTTTTAAAAATTGAACAATATCGTACTAATAAAGAGTTACATTTAGATAAAATTATAACAGACTTTTCAAATTTAAAGGCTAGGAGGATAAATTTTAAAGTTAAGATTGTTAAAAATAATACTGTAAATATTTACGTTACATATTACATGCATTTCTTTATTTTGTTTTTAATATTAAACTACCTACCCTACCTGAGTAGTTATATGCTATATGTTATATGACTTATATGTTTCTAATGATATAATTTGTGATCTTTATGTTTTTTATTTTGTTTACAGAACACTTGTGTAAACAAATTTGAGAAATCATCCTACGGTATATCACGGTTATAGTATAATGACTGTAGTAGGGTTAAAAGCCATTTATTATAGGAGGGAGGTAATTATGTTGTACGGACAATTGGTGCACTAAAACTTCTGCTGCCCTGGGTCCTAAAAAACTTAGTTGCGGACTGCGACGACGCCATTAGCCGTACGCCCGTACAAGTGTTCAAGTTATATTTTAGTAGCTATATAACACATTTGGTTTGCTATCGTGGCTTCTAACTAAATAGACGATCAACTATATAGGTGCCTATCTTTTTTTCTTTTCTTTTGACCCACCACTACATAGGGATTTAACTCTTTTTAAAAGGCTTGGTCCCCGAGTTGCATAATCTTTTATTGAGATTTGAAGCATAACAATAGTATGTATTTATATAAGGGTAGGCTGGGCATGTCCCGTCTTATCCCAATTTTCACAACAGATAATATTTCGTTATATTTATTTCCCTAGGATGACCTTGACAAACCTCTTAGCAAGCTGGCCTGAGCCCACCAAGCTAGCTTCACGTTCAGAAACCCTCCCCTTCGCACTATATAATACTAATTATCTATAGGTAACGGATTATCTATTATGAAAATCAAAAAATTAAAAAATATATTAATATAATATCACAATATTGAATTGCGACATTGCGATCATCAAACGGATGTTCCAGTAGCCGTCTCCGATGGTGCTGTGGTGTTTTTCCGGTATTTTAAGTTACTTATAAGTTACAACCAGGGTCGGACTGGCCAATATAACTGACTAGCAATAGCCAGTAAGGCCCCCTTGTGTGTATGACTATTTGGGGCCTCATCTAATGAACGTAAAAATCATAAGTATAAATATATGAACTGTACATTTATATAATATATTATATTTGTTTAATAATAATCAAACATAAAAAAACAGTGTAGTTTAGACGGACAAAACATGTTTGTGAAGTCTCAACAGTCAACGTTTCTGTTATCGTCTCATCGATGCCAATTAAAAATAATAATATATATGATTGATCAATATTGGAATTTTAGAGGTATTTATTTTTAGAACTGAAAACCTATTCTTATTGCTTTGAGGAATACTTCAATCAGTAGGTACACAATGATAGGTATATTTCCTTGATTTATAAAAATATAAAAATTCTATTAAAAATGATATTGTTATTTCAATATTAATTGTTTATATTGTGTCTTAACAATTAACACAATGTGTTTGATTCTATAGGTACATACAAGCCTTCTACATTTTCCTCCTTGTCTTAAATTAATAAATAACATTTTTAACAATTATCAAAATAGCTGGTAATTACCAAAAATTTTGATAATTTATTATAATCGATCTCTAAAATATACTATAAAATAAATTGTAAATAAATTTAACTAAAGAAAACAGTAAATAAAGATAAATATGGTGTTTTGAGTAACAATTGTAAATTATAAAGTTTATTTATGATCATTTTTTGTGAAAAAAATTTATCAAATTTACAAGAGAGTTATTATTTATCACTATTGTTGACTGTTGAGGCCCTCTCTATAAGTAAACTGCCGGTGGGGCCCTTAGTACCCAGTCCGACTCTGGTTACAACCTACCTGTGCACAGGGGTTAAAGTGGGGAAAAATTCTAGAGGGGACTAATGTCTCCATATAGTTTTAAGCGTTCCATTTATAATTTTATGTATAATGTCTAATGTAGAAAATCCCAATTTGTTAAAAGGGATCCTTTTTAACCACCGTCAGAGGTAGGGGGGCTTAGTCCTCCTGCGTCCCCCCACTTTAACCTCTGCCTGAGATGGAACCGTGATGGAATATTATACTAAACCTTTTTATCCATCGAATCGAATGTATGTCACAGCGTACTATCATTAATTATAAATACTAGTATTTATAATCAATGGTACAATTCACCGATGTGTTTCATTTCCGATGTTTCCATTTGAAGTGAATAATTTTGTAATTGGTTGTTGAGTTTTGGTTTTTATTATGGTTTTATCGAAATAAACATATTATTATTAATAATGATATACCTCTTGTAACACTGATGTATATTAATCTTTATTTTATTTTATCGCCAATATAACTGCAGTAGTTTTGCGATGTTGTGTTTCTTCTAAACATCTATGTATGCAAATAATAGCTCGGTTATTCGTATATGAACTGTAAAAAATTAGTATTAGGAAATAGGAATATAATATAATATTATATTGTATAGGAACAGTGAAGATAAAATTTTAATTGAATAAAAAATAAATATACAAAAAGTTTTAATTTAAAATGAGACAAAAATGATCATTTTATTGTAATAAACGTATCAGCTTGGAACAATATTTAAATTTGAGTTACATATAATTTTTAATTAGGACGTAACACTCACTTGTACAACGAATAAACTAATAAACTTATACAATTTATGAACTAGATCTAAAATTGTTAAGAATTAAGTGTTTAGGTGTTATGATTACATAAATATTAGTCATAAAAAAATAAATGATAAAATGCTAATGAATTTACATTTGTGGATAATTTGTCAACTACAGTAAATTATAATCTCCAACTATTTATGTTTTGACATTTGCGTATAATCACAGAATATACGTTTAGATAAAATAACAGTGAATAAACCACTCCTTCCATTATATTATGTATAATATAAGCTCCATTAAATAGGACAAAAATCAATAAAACGTCAATGTTCCATAATTTCAAATACTACGGCTCACTTATTAAAACAGATTTGATCACAGTAATTAAATTTGTCCGTTTTTAATTTGATATCATATATTATTTTCTATTCTTGGACAAAATTTTATAAATGCAGACAAAAGAGTTTAACATCCAAAACTGAATTAGCGTATTATTGAATCATGCTGAAATAAAACAAATAGAATGCCAAATTTTTCTTTTTAATTTATAATTAATGTATTTTTAATGTATAAAAAAAAACTGATTGAAAATCTACCATCTCGGGCCCTTATCTGACCATGGCCATGACTCACTGACACTTACACCCCCCCCCCCCCCCAATTAATAATGCCAATGTTATTTGGTTGAGAGGCATTTAAAAATAAATCAATGATCCAAAGTCAATACAAAAAATAAATAAATGCAATAGTATTCTTATTGGTTGTTTTCAAGGGTAAAGAACAGTATTTAAATACACAATAAGCTAAATCCATCTAATATAAAACTACTGATTCCAGTAATTATTTTTGTTAATATATAAAATGATGTATATATATATTTTTAATAGCAATACTGAATCTCAAATGTTAAAATGCCTAAAGCAAAACATTAAGGACAAAATAAATATACATCTAAATATACATTGGTTTATATAATAAATTTAGTATCTATCAAAGTTAATTTAAATAATAAAAAATACAGTTATTACCTAGACAATAATAATTTATGGTCTAAACTAAAATTATTTACATTTTATTGACTATAAGAGCGGGTATAAGGGACGGGGTAAATATTTGAAATGTAAACTAAAATGATTGAACCTTTACAAATCACTCACTAAAAGTAGAAAAAACATTTAACACACAAATACAACAATATAACAACACATAAAAAATAAAAGTAGTAAACGCATAATACGAGCAAAATGTAGTTATTATACGGTTATACATTTAAGGTAAAAGGTACCATAGCTGAATAATTGTAAGAGTAAGATTAAATATAGTAGCCAAATAGTAGCTTTAATATGCTTGAAATGGCACAAAAAAAAATTAATTACCTCACATAGGTGTAAACATTATTTAGTATAAAAATTTAAAGGCACTTGATACACATTAATTGATTAATGAGTATATTTTCAAGGTTCAATATAATCACACTAAAAATAAAATTTAATATGAACCTATTAAATTCGTAACGATTTCTCAATCAGTCAAATTCATGTTATTATCAGCACAGATAATTGTTGATAATATTTTCTAAACTTGACGTTCACGGAGCATAAAAAAAATAAATATTCAAAAACTTAAGGGCGGTATTTAGTTTATAAAATAATTTTGTCATAAGAACTAGTCGTTGCAGCGCGTTTTGTGACTGTCGGGCAAAAACCGACTTCAAGTCTCATTTGTATAGATATACAAAGACATAAAAACATAAAATAGAATCACAAACATCCAAAAACTGTACTTCAGGATTCTAGGTCTTGTCGTGATCTCCTTGCGCTTACGACAGTGCGGCACTCACAAAGGTCTGGTGAAATTGGCGGGGAACATTTTCTTCTCTCCTGTGTTGTCTTTAACACCAATCAACCAGCCCTCCTCCTAAATATTCAAAAAGGAAAAACAAAAAAGTCGTTAATCACTTGTCTCTTACACAATAACTCCAAAACTGGGCACTATCGATAGTCAGAAAGTTTTTTTGACAGCTTTCTAACTTAATTTAATAGTATTAAACTGTGAATTATTTCATTTTGAGGCATTAAAAATGAAAAAGACAAAATAGTTATTTTCTAGTATATCAGTAATCAACAACATTCTACATAGTACCTATATATAATCAGTACCGGATCTATAAATTTTGTAAACCGGGACACAACATAATATTAGTGTCACTAATCCCTATGCTATATGCTTTATGAGTTTAAAATTTGAAATTTGCGCCCCTCTATGATTAGCACCCGGGAACTGTAAATGATTATGGTGAATTTTGAACTTCAAATGTTTATTGTGAATCGTGATTATATAGTACATAATATGGGGTCAGATATTTTATGAAATTATTTGGAGTGGTTCAATGAGCAAGTAAAATTTTGGAATATCACTATTATATAAACTTACTCAATATCATCTAAAATAGTTAGTTTGAACAAATTTATGATTATTATTCATCTCAACTAACTTATGATTTAAATTAAATTTCTGGTATACCTAACGTATAACTCTAATTTTGTTATTGGCGTTTTATAACGAGAGATTTAACAAGTAAACAAAATATAACTGACTTGACCAGCTTTGCAAAATAGTAATATAATAATATATTATAATGATATTTAACGACAGCGATAAACAGACAGTGTGTCGGTATGGTGTCAACGAACGAAGTTCAATTTGAACATGGTGAATTACCCACCTGAGTTTCTGGATCGTCGTAGGGTACTACGCTGATGATTTCACCCTTTTCAAACGACAGCTCGTCCGTGTCTTCGGCGTCGTACTTGTAAGTCGCCACTACTCTGTACAGCACTCCCGGAGGCAAGTTGTCCGTAGTCGCCCCTGCAGAAAACGGCAAATTATATAAACATACAAAGCTATACCGTCTTCGCGTTGATCGGAGGATAAAAAAACAGTACAAGGACGTGTAATACGCCATGCAGTGGTTTTTAGAACCGATCGTTTCGGAGGGGCGTCACTTCGGATGGTTATGGTATTATATCGATTAATCAAGCTGTTATCAAACAAATTTAACGAAAACGTCGCGAAGTCAAGTCGTATTATAGGACATATAGGTGTAATATTATTCAAAACCACTCTGCGGTACCTGGCGGTATGTCGATTTCGATGTTTTTGTTGGTACCGTTCTCGTGCCTGACTGGGGCGACGCCGTTTACCGGCGATGAGCTGCTCTTGCCGTTGACCAAAGGCTGCTGCTGCTGCGGCGGTGGTGGCGATGAAGACGACGACGCTGATTCGTCTTCCAACGGCGTTTTCGATGCCACTGACGACACTTCGTTGATGCTGCTGTCGGGCTGCGATGACGGTGGTTTGTTACTACTTACGAATGCCGTGTTTTGAGGGGATGCGGGTGACGAGGGCGGGGATTTCGCAACGTCTTCTTCTACATTACACACACGGTTTAGTTTTCACACGAAATCATGAGTTAAACAAACGGTACACGACATAATGTATAATTATAGTCTATTATGAATGTCATAGGCGCAAATTGTTTAAAATTATTGAAAGGGTGCTTTAGCACCGAACATACTATAATATGCAGGGTACTGGCTCGAGCAAGCTTGAAATGCTTATTAATTAAGAACTGTACTTATATATTAGTATTTAGTTGAATATTATAACGACATATTTTTTAACATCAACATTCTACAATTTCTACTTCAGACTATGCAATTAAAAATGTAGGCTGCGATTTAAAAATAAAGATATTAGAACAAACAAGGATGACAAAATAAAGTATATTATAAGTATATGATGTATAATGTACATACATATTTTAACAAAGAAAATGTTTGTAATAATTTAAAATTTGTAAGAGGTTTCACTGTTGAGAGAATTATCATGTATATAATATAATATATATATTTGACACTAACTAAAAATAAATAAAAATGAATTATTTGAAAAAATATTATGGTAGGTATTATAATATTCATGTGGTTATAGATCCAGTTCATTGAAGAGTAATAATAGTTAAACAAACTAGTCAACGAATTAAAATTTTAAAAAAAAAAACATTAAATTTACGCCTATGGGAATTATTATAATTAATTGAATAACGCAATATAGCTACTACTTAATATTATAAACTGTGTACGAAAGCTAAAAACGAGAAAATAATTTTTAGTATGTATAATAATTACCGTTCATGGATATCGGAGACACTGGAGACTGTGATCTACGTGAAATGAAAAAAACAATTAGTGTAATGTTATTAAATTGGTATTAGTTTATTGTTTAGAAAGGTATACAAATTAAACAGTATGTACACATTACACATAATACATAATATATAACTATAGGTGCTACAATTCAGAGGCGTGCTTGACGCAGTGGGAGCCACGTATTACTCAGGCCACCCATAATGTGCACCATTATCTTCAGTATACTACGTATAATATTTATATATTTTAATATTCAGGCATGCAGGCGAGGTTCTAGGACTATATTTTCGTATGGGCAACAATAGATTTATAATTAGGTTTTAACTGCGAATAATATTCCTCATTTCCTCCCCCTTCCCCAATAAGGGGCACCAGACATTTTGGTATGGGCAGCTGCCCACCATACCCATACGCTAGAACCGCCACTGCAGGCATGTATACTTACGCAGGTTGAATATTGTTGGCGACGTTGTTTGAGGGCGTTTTGTAGAAGTAGTTCAGCATCTTGGATTGGTGTTGATAATCCGTGGCCAATTTGTCGACGATCGATTCCATTTCGGAAAACACCTGACGAACCGAAAATTAAATATTATTACAAATTAGTAAGTACTCAATTATAAAATAAAATAAAATAAACTTAAATATTAGAAATTAATTATAACACAATAACCAAGTTTAAGGACATATTATATCCATAATATTTGCATATCCTTATTGCAGTATGTAGTAAAACTTAGCAGAACAATAAATAAATAAGTTTTTGAAGTACATTGAAAACATACTTTAGACGATTCGTTGTGAAATAATTGTTCGGCAGCGAAGTATGGTTGCAGGTTTGTGATCAAAAACAGCACCCTAGAGTTGTACAAAGCAGGCAACTCGTCGTGTAGCTCTGTGTTGATTAAGTCGAACTTTCGCTTGACTTCATCGAACTGTTCTTTGGCTTTCATCATTTTCGCTTCGTCTTTTTTCTTGCCGGCTCCACCCGCGACGCCGTTGTTGTTGGCCAATTGGTTACTGTGCCTCTGGCTGTCGTAGTCGACTAGTTTTCTGTTTCGTTTGTCAATTTTTTTCTAATGGACCAAAAATACTCGTGTATTTATAAAACATGCGAGAGATATGAGTGGCTATAATTGATTTATTATAATTAGAATTTGGATCCAGAGTTAATTATGATAACTATAGTATACTAGTGCGACCGATATAGAAAATTTGCATGTGTACAATATATTTTTTTTTTTACAAGTACCTACATTTTATAACATACACATTTTCACCAAAATATAAACATTTCACAATATTTTAAAAATTATTAATATACAATTACTATATTCGGATGTTTAATTGAAACTTGAAAGGATAAGTTAATATGGCGAAAAAAAAATTTTTTTATTACCGCTGTTTTATTAGACTATCCACAGTTGGAAAATGTTTTGAAGTGTCTATAAAAATTTGAATTAAATTAGTGTACTCGGGTGCAACTATAATATGGGAGGTATATATATTTATTATAATATACTATAACCCGGTATTACGCAGGAAAGTCTTTTATCTAAACGGGTGCTAAAACGAGTAATATTATCAGTAATTACTGATTGCTTACCCGTGTTTCGGCGAACTGGGCTTGGTACGTGTTCAACGGTATTAGCACTTGATCGGCTAATTTGTGAGTGTAATCGCTCCACAGCATGTCCAAATTGTTCGAATCAGTACACATGTGATCGTGTCCAACCCATTGGGTTTCGTACATCTCGTTCAACGTGTCCATCAGACTTTTACTAGCCACTTGCACGGCTAAATCATAATTCAAAACACGAAATCATAAATATCTATGTATCATTGTCTATTGATCTGATATAAACGCATAAAAACTAATAACAATGAGTGGGCGCCGGTATGCAGGAAATATTAAGGTCATCGATTGGTCGAGCCTTCGATGAAGCCAAAGAAACAACAAAATGTATATAGGTACTATATTAATGTTTATAATTGTGCTAACATACCTCTGACACATCGAATATAGTTGTTGAATTCTTTTTGTAATTTATTCGCCGAATTTTGCTGTTTTGAAAAATTTTGTAAGTGCTCGTTAAAAATTTCATCTTCAGTCCGATCGACTTTTCCCAAGTTTTGAAGAAACTATAAGAACATACAAACAATAGATTAATATTATATACATGGAGTAATTATGTTATGAATAAATTCAAACAATACATAAATAGCCACTAATATAGTAATAATAACCAGGGCGGTGAATAGTAGGTATACATTGTGTGTGTTTTCAAAAAAGCTCAGTCAAAATATACCACTATTCACTATACTATAGGTACAAGGTAGTGTATAAACATACATTTTTCTGAGATCCAGACAAATTTTTTTTAAACTTTCCTAGTCAGTTATAACGGTTATCGGTGAATAAAAATTCCAATGGAAAATATTACTAATTGCTTTTTATGTTTGAATGTTATCTTTTAATAGATAACATAAGTTATATTTAAAAAATAAAAATATATAATATAGGTGTGTAGGTACTATGAATAATACAATTGTATAAAAACAATAACAACAAATGTAGGTAATGAAACAAAGTTTTATTTAAATATTTTGTCAAAGTAAGTATTAATATATTACTTAATTTTATTCAAAATTAATTAAGTTAATATACTTTTACATTTTTAGAATATTAGGAGTATGTTTTTGCAATTTTCACTATTTTTTAGTTCACTCATAAACCTGGCAACAGTAAATCAGATAATAGACAGTTAAGATGTAAACAATTTTAACACTGATTGACAGAAGGGAAAAATTAAATTTTAAACGCATTATTTATTTCATTAAAAGTTTTTCAATATATTTACTGTCTGGCTTCCAAATTATTAGTTTATAAATCCAATATAAACACAATATGTTAACACAATGACATGTAGTATTTACATAATTCATACTTGAATGCACATACAGTATAGTTGTGTTTATTGAAGTTCAACTATATAAAATTAGATTTCGTGTTTTTATTGAATGTTTAATTATTTTACTGTACAGACAAACCCAAGTGTTTAAAAATCAAAAGTATTAAACCAAAAAATAATAATTGTATATTAGATATATAAATATTAATGGAAAAAAATTAATTAAAGTATTCATTCAAAATAATCAATATCATAACCAACTATAAAATATATTTTGTAGCGTATATTGTAGAGATACGATTTGTTTTTAATTAGATAAAGTATTTAGTACGATTATACGAAATATATAATTGCCTATATATAGTTCAGTAAGCTAATGAGTTACAATTACGAAACCAATGATATCAAATAATAGTATAGAGTTACACAAATATAATTAAACCTATACTCAAATAAAAGGTATTTTAAAAATCAAATAATATTTGTATTAAAAATAGATTTGAAAGTCTAACGAGATAAAAAAAAAAAATGAATGTTCGGTAGTTAAGTTTACAATCGATTCTAATCGAAATATTATACATAAAATCAATGAAAGTCACACAATAATACATAAATTAGTTTGACCACCAACGATTTTTATTTTTACTATAGAGGTACCTACCTACCTACTTAATAGTTGCACGTTTAAACAATGATTGAGGAATAAAGTGTATACCAATAAAATATTAATATCTTTTTTTATACCTAGGTACTATATAATATATATATATATACATTTAGCGGTACTTATGTAAAGTATATGAAAAGAGTGTGTAGAATTTATGGAAACCCTATTTACATTGCATGGGAATATTTCTGCAGAGACTTTATATGAGTTTTTTTCGGGGTGTTTAAGCAAGCCAATTCTAACGATTATTCGTTACGTTAATATTAAACACCAATGATTAATTTATAGTTTGTGATTTTATCATTTTTTTATTGAAAATTTAGTGGATTAATATTAATATTGTAAATAAACTAATCCCGCGTACTATATAATAAGTAAGTACATTCTACACATAACACATCCGGCATGCCAGTTAACAAAAGTGAAACGCCCCTGGGATCACATTACATTATGATAATAAATACAACGATTATATATTTTAGGTAACGATAACTGATAAGTGATAACACTATAGTAACAGCATTGCGGTATAGAATTAGTTTAATTAAATTAATTGTAGCACGTTAAAATAATATGCATCATACATGAAACCACTACATACACACTGCAGTGTTTTCAAACTTTCTAGATACACGCTATACCTATATCCTGTACAATATACAATAATTGATATTATATAGAACGCATGAAACCAGCTTCAGCGTAATGCATCAACAAATATGTATATACAAACCTAGATTGTATACACACATTATAAAATATTAATTCCTAATATCTATAACCTATAACCTCGTAAACACGAAAACAAGAACAAGAACTTACTCAAAAATTAGATAAAAATGGAACTGATAGATTTGATTATGTTATGTACTAAAGCTAGGTATTAAGCAGTGAATGTATAATAGTTTAGGCTGAAAGTTCTAAAATAATAATAAACCAGTGAATGTGCATACGTGTTTTATAATCGGTTCAATAATGAGGCAGTATAGTTAAAACGGCAGAAATGCCTTTTCCCAGGAAAAAATTTATTTGCACTATATATTTAATTATATTTTTAAAGGTTATTCTGCCAAATAAAATAACATTCTTGCATTGCAGTTTTTATTTGAAAACGGTTTAAAATAAGAATTGTGTTGCCGTTTTCTGAGAGTATATTATCACTCTAGCTACTTTCTAGTATTTTATAGAATTGGAATACACGATATTATCATTAAGGGGCCTCACTACCACGTGTTTTTTTTGTCAAAAACTACTGTTTCTAATTCCAACGATACGTGTCGACAATTATAACGATTTTCATTCTGAAAAATTATTCTGATTGTCCGTAATATATACAAGGGAACGATCGAGTCACATTTTTAATTTTTGTAATTTAAATTACAATAAAAATTGTAAAAAATTCAAAAAATGTACACAATTTCCAACTTAAATATTTAACTCTTTGAGGGGCCGTGGTTAGTATGCTAACCACTTTTTTTTTTACCGTTCAGGTGCGGTGGTTACTATTTTAACCACTTTTAAAATTATTTTTAATATTTTTTTGATGATGGTCAGCATACCAATCACCTTATTATCATCTTATACATGCATCAAACAATATCACTGCCGCTGGTCTGATATAATTTCTCGCGTTTTTCATCATTTATTATCATTATCGATATTTTGATATACGTACTAAATGTTATGGTAAAGAGACATATTGCCCACATGGGTCTTTTTTCTAAAGGAAATTTTCGCCCCTCAAAGAGTTAATTAACTAAATACAATTTTAAAAATGTGCCTCGATCGATCCCTCGTACATGCTGTGGAAAATAAGAATATTTTGTCAGAATGAAAATCGAGATAACCGTTGAGACGTAATGTTGGAATTATAGAATCGTATGTTCGAGTGAAAAATAAACATTTTTTTCATGATCACAATATTATATATTGACATGTGTGTGCGAGTGCGTGCGAGAGCTCTCCGCACCGCTTCAATTGACCCGCATGGACGCCACACACACTAATAATCATTTACGACTAACACATAGATCTCGGGTGGCGACGACGAGATTAGAAATTGCCTAAATGATTCTCCTTAAATCAATGCCATTGCGAGGCCCCTTAACTACAAAACTTATCTGTATGACTGTATGTGACACTTGTGTGTAATATAACATAAAATATTATGTACAAATAATGCATCATATATACAAATACAATTTTATAGTGTCTTGTAGGTGGTAAGTTGTCCGCAATCTTAGCGGCACCGACATTATATAGGTCTAGTTGCTCAGTGCTCGGCCAATATACGATTATACAATACGAATTGAACCTATATGTATCTAATGAACAAGAATATAATATTATTGTAGTATTATAGAATATTATTAACGTAAATGAGAAACGAAAAGGCGCGACGAAACGAAAAACCACTCTCGGTTTCCGCATGATGCACACGCGCGAACGTGGCCTGCGCAATTCGCGTTTGAAACAACTGACATGAAAATGATATAATACAATAAATATTATAATAAACCTAGTGAAATATTATTATAGACCACACGCCTTGTTATGTATTGCCATATTACTCGTTTTACCCAGAGCCAAACACAATTTGAGACAATTATTTTGAATGTGTTAAAAGTTTAAAGCATACTATAAACATAAATAGGTATGTTATATATTATTGTAACGAGCGTGTCGACGATTAAAAAACGTGTGCTTTTTTTGTTTTTATTATCGCAACTGAGTGGAATGTAAACATATAGAGTGAGTCACCAAGCATTTTCAACCCCATCAAATCCTTCGATTCTGATATTTTAAATTTTAAAAAGAATTCAAGGAGTGTCCACTAATAGTGATAAAATTTGAATATTCATCAGAAAAAATTTTTTTGACAGTTATAATAAACCAAAATTCAAATTCAAACAAACATAAGATAAAGGTTCAAATAGTTATAAATGAATGATATAAGTTATAACCTAGGTATACTATAGATGTCTATTAAAACATAAAACGATAATAAAATTAAAATCTATTAAATATTAAAAAAAAACTACAAGATATAGTTTTGGAATGTCAAGACACTCAGTGACATAAAACAGTCTAAGTTCGCCTCTTTAAAATATGGTATTAAAGTACTTATACGAATTCCATGAGTTACGATGTGAATAAATGCACATATCATATAGTTAATAGAGTATAAAATGGGGGTGATCATCGAACATGTTTGGTGAATCACTCTGTATAGTAAATATATGAGAATCACATATATGACGTATATTGGGTCGTCCGATATAGTATATATGGGTACTTTCTTGTACTGTATACATACGGTGCACACACACAACTAGTACTAGTATTCTATAGGTACACATATATATAATAATATGTAAAATACGAATATCGTACGACCGACTTTCACTCGAGGCAACAACTATACGATGCTTTAAATATTAAGTTTTGTTCCTAAGCGATAAATTATTATAATATTTGTCCACGCGCCGTGTATCAGGCCCGTATCTCATCCTACCCGTAATATCTGGCACAATTTTTTTCGGGCGCCTACGTTCATTTCTATT